AGTTGACCATAGAGTTGAGGGTCCATTTCTGGGCTCTCTGTTCTGTTCCATTGATCTATGTGTCTGTTTTTGTGCCAGTACCATACTGTCTTGATGATGACAGCTTTGTAATAGAGCTGGAAGTCCCCTGGCCCCTCATTCTAGTATTTGTCACTGATGTGGATTTCTTGCCTGAATCATTCATGTTTCAGTTTTTGCCCATTTCTTGCTAGGCGTAAGAAATTGGGATTCTCCTACCCCACAGATCTCACAGGGTTAAACATGTCCCCAGCCTGAGGACCAGTTTTGAGGATCAGAACAGAGAGAAAAGCACCCACCCTCCTTTAAGTGTGACGCCTCTGTGGCTCGCCACTCAGCCTGCAAGGGAAGGAGCACTGCTGCCCTCTGGTGGCCAGTCAGCAGAGGCTCAGGGAGCAGCTGGGGGGGGCGGGGTCCCCTTTGCTTGTCTCAGGGACAGCAGCTTTGAGTCTTCACGTAAATGAATGTCCTTTCACTGTTCCTGGAACACAGCAAGCTTGTCCTCACCTCAGGGCCTTGGCTCTTGCTCTCTCCTCTCCCTGGAATGCTCTTTGTCTAGATCTCTAGTGTAGTCTGTTCATTCTGTAGTCCTTGGGCCAAATGACAACTCCGCAGGGAAGCCCTCCTGGACCATTTTGTCTGAAACTGCACCAATCCCATTTCCTTGTTTGCTTTGTTCAAGTGCTTATCTACTATTTGAGAATATCTGTTTCAATTCTGTGTCTATGGCTTCTCTCCCTTATCAGAATGTGGGGTCCTGGAGAGCAGGGTCTTTGTTGATTTCATTTGTCACTAGACCTCTGTGCATTGTACATAGTAGACACTCAACAACACTTGTTGAAGGAATAAATAAATGCATATCAAAGACAGCAACTGAGATTTAAGCAGAGGTTCTGGTCCTCAAAATCATACATTCTGAGGTGGGCAGGGCACATACCACCCCCATTTGACCGACGAGCAAGCCGAGGCTCAGAGAGATTTATAGGAGTCGTCTGAGCATTCAGCAGAGAGGAATGAGCCAGTCCTTGGTCAGTCCCATACCCTGGAGGGGACAGAGCGATGTTCCAGGCCTGAACCGTGGCCGCCAGGGGTGGAGGCAGGCGCCCACGTGAGGTACAGGCCTTCACCTTCTGGCCCTGGTGACCAAGGGAGCCTGAGCTGGGCCCTGTTGCAAAGCTGTGCTGAGGCTTTGCGGGTGTGTGGTGGCATGGGCAAGGAAGGCCAGTTCACAGGAGAGTAGAACAGGACTCCGGAGACAGTGGCCTGGCCGTCTGCAGAGATGTGCGTTCTAGAGCAGGGGTGTGTTCGGGGAGGGCGGGTGGCAGGAAGGCTGGAGCCAGTGAGGGAACTGTGCCTCCTCCGGGGCTAAGATTTGGCTGTGACATTCTGGGTTCCGTTGGGGCCCCTAAGGGCCCAGCCGTGTCCTCACTACACTCAGCCCGAGGCAGGGGCTGTACTCTGATCTGGACCCAGTACAGACTCGAGGGGGTGGAGGGCTCTGGCCGCAGAGCCCAGGCTGCTGGGGCTGGGCTTGGGCAGGTGGGGGGCTGGTGGGGGCCGGGATGCCCAGGCCCCAGGCAGGCTTCGCTGAGCACCAGGGCGGGAGTCTGGACGGTCAGCAACATCTACTCCTGGACTGGTCTTCTGGTGAGAGCTTGATGGAGTCTGTGAGGTAATTCTCTAAGATGCTTCGATACTGGGGAAAGAAAAGAGAAGCCAGAGTTCACATCCTGAGAGGCAAAGAGCCTCACCTGCCTTCTGTCTCTTACTGGCTGGTAGTGGTTGGGCTTTTTGTTCCCTCCCTATTGTGTTGTTAGGAAGCTGAGGCCCCGGCGCGGGGGGCGGGGGGGGGGGTGAGCACTGGTCTTCCCCACCCTCTTCTTTCCTCACCTCCTCCTCAGGTTCTTCCCAGGAGCCCGGAGCACGAGTCTCCTGACCTCCAACGAGGTCCCACAACTCTCCGTTCTCCAGAGGGAGTAACTGAGCTGACATCTGACCTCAGGCAGAGATGATGACAGCCCACTCCTCCTTTCTGCTGGAGACCTCTCCCCACAAACACCCCCACACCCCAACCTTCTCTCACCACGTCCACCTCCCAGCCTCCCCTCACCGCTGCCCGGGCACCTGGAGAAGCCCCGTCAACCCTCTGCCCTTCCCATGGCCTCTATTCTCCCTAAAATAGACTCAGCGTTTCCGCGGGGCCCTATTTGCTTCTCTGCCTACCTCCCCAAACGCTTGGGTCCCAGCGATGTCCAGAGAAAGCCTCTCCCCACTCAGCTGGCCACTTCTCTCCCAGAACCCACCCCGCTTGGCTCAGGGGCGAGGGTGGGGTGGGGCAAGGGGGCCCTTCCTCCAGGAGATGGATTCCCAGGCGAAAGGGTCTCTTCTTAAAGGGACCTCATCTCTCTACTCTGCCAGGCTCTCACCGGTCACCAGGCTCAGGTGTCTATGCCCCCCACAGCTGGCATTGCGTGTGTGAGTGTGCGAGCTGGTGGGTGTGCACTCACTCGGCGGGTGAGTGCCTCTCACCCCCTTGGCGTGGCCCCGAGCAGCACCCGTCTCCACTGGTGAATGTCACGGCCCTAATGCCGTGGCCCTGGCTCCCTGGCTCACCAGGAGGTGGTGTCAGGGCTCGCCTGCTGCACCCTGATGATGTTGGCTCCTGAGACCCATGACTCACTGTCACCCCCAGACTGAGTGGTCATTTCGGCTGACGTGTGGAGCTCATGGTGCTGGGCCGGGATCCAGCCCTTTTCCAAATAGTTTGTTTCTGAGGATCCCTAGACAGATTATTTAGAGTTATTAGAATTTATATAATAGTAATTTTAACAGGAAGGCTTAGTGCTGGGGGCTGAGGGCAGTGTAGGCTCTGCAAAAGGTCTGTCTCTCTGGAGATGTCACCACACCCCAGATTGATCTCCCCCTCTGCTGGGGAGGATCCCCCACTGCTTACACACTTGACCCAGGACACCCCAGGGCTTCCCTAGCTCTCACCCTGAGAGAGCAGAGTCCCACCCGACGTGTCTGAGAAGAGAAAATGGGGCCGAGCGGCTCCTTCTCGCCAGCACCGTCCAGCCTGGTGTGCGGGCCCCAGGCTCTGCAGCCCCGGGTGTGTCCAGTCCTCCTGCTGGCCCCTTCTGCTGGGTGCAGGGCCCTCTCACACCGCTGAGGGAACGTAGTTACAATCCTGACATTTCTGAACCTCCCAGCGAGGGCCGAGGAAGAGCAGAGCGTCCCTGGCTAAGCCCCCCTCTACACCGAGTGAGCCATCTCTGCCTGAGGGGAAGGTTTTGGAAGGATTCTCTTATTGTCTGGTATTTTTCGCGTCCCTCCCTCATCATGAAAGCCAGAGACCTTGACTGGGATCTGGAACTTTCCTAATTGGATCTTTGGACCCAGGAGGCAGGGCCTGTTGGTTCATCACCCTCAAGTACGCCCCACCCTCACGTCCACCCAAGGCCCTGCTGGGACCCCAGAGCCCCTCATGACCAGAAACCTGTGCCATCGTCCACAACGCCAGCCTCCGGGGAAGGAGACTGGGAGCGCCCAGAGGAGCAGCGGGGCTTTCTGAGCTCCTTCGCATTTCTAGATTCAAATGGAACGCTGCCTCTGGAAGGTGTGAGAAACTTCCTCGCTCATTACACTGGCAAAGCCTGAGGTCTTCACACCAGCTTTCTTACACCCAATAATAGTCACACCTCCACGGGTCCGTGTTACCAGAGTGCTTCCCGTTTGTGACACCATTTTGGCCCGTCATGGCATCATCTGGCTCCTCAGATTTCCCACAAAACTTTCGAGTAACTGGCAGGCCACAGTTAGGTCTCCAGTGTAATTCTTTCCTCCAGGCCCCGGTCCTCTAGGTGATGTGTGCATCTAGCTGTAAATTCGCATAGTAGTGTCCTCACGCATGCACCTGATGTGCCTAAGGGATGTGACTTACTGTTGCAGTCTGTCCTTTCAAGCCTGGTCACCTCTGTGGTGCTTTTAGATTCTGCAGCTGGAGGACCTCAAAAAGGTCCTATCATTTCAACATGCTTACCTGCTAGCCAGCCCAGCCTGCTTCCCTCCTGGACGTGGCAACTATGTCTTTGTCTCGTTAGCTTCGAAGGAACTGGGCCTCCAAGCTGCCGATCACTCCACAGGGACCAGGCCTGACCGGTCCCAGCAGGGATGGAGTGCCAACTGGATTTTGATGAGCAAAAACTCATCATCCCAGATCCCCTGAAGCAGTTGGTGTCCCTTCTTGGATCATGAGGGCATTCTTAATCATATTTTGGAATAACTAAGTACCCTCCTCCTTGAAAGTGGCCGGATTGGGATACTAAAGTAACTGCCTACTATCTTTTCTTTCAACATGTTAGCTGAGGACCTACTCTGGTGCTGGACTCAAAAATCACTCTTTCCAACCAGAGTTCACTGCAGAACTCAGATGTTTCAAGGGACTACGAGTGTCATGTGCCCCAATGGACTGCATCACCCTCTCTCCTCTTGTGATGTTCCTGATCTGCTAGCTTGGTCCCTAGCATTCTATTCAATCATGCCTCCGATAGCCAAGCTGGGAACCTGGTCATCGACCTAAATAACTCCTGGTTCCTTCTCTCCTATATTCGACCATCATCAATCCCTGAGGCTCTCCCTCCAAAGTCTGTTGAGTCCACCCTGTCCTGCCATCTTCATTCTGTCATGCCTGGACTGCTGCAGTACCTTCTCATCCACCCATGGGGCCCATCCTCCATGAAGCAGGAAACACCCCTGCCAGAAACCCTTATACACAGCTCCTGTTTTAAAGCAGCTACCTTTGGTTTAATGCCTTCTTGTACAATGAATTGCTTTATTTGGCCCTTGCAACAGCCCCATTATTCTTATTTGTACTTAAAGAGAGGCAAGTGGTGGCTGAGGGAGGCTGCATGACTTGCTGTAGGACATACAGTAAGAGGAAGAGCCAGGACTTAATGTCAGATGCCCTGGGCTTTGGAGCCCCAACCTGGGGCTTCCCTCCCCTGCCCACCCCTCACATCTCCCTCTCAAACACTCCAACTACCTCCCTGGGAAGGAGGGGGAAAGCTTTTGTAGAAAATGTCTTTGAAAATGTGTTTGACCTTAAACTAGAGATGTGCAACATCCAGTTTTGCCTTAAACATCCACGTGAATTTTACATTCTATGCTCTGGTAGTTTGTTTGCTTTGTTTTAATGTGAAAATATTTCTCCTTCAAGTTTCTGAGTAAAGGACATGTCCGGTGGGGTTTCAAGGTACCGGGTGAGCCCCCGTATGCCTCGGGTCCAGCGGCGACGTCTGGACAGTGTGCACCTGCGGCGTGAAATCCGAGTCCTGGTTGGGGCTCTCCAGGCCTTCATGATCTGTGCTGCTGACCTTGTGGGCTTCCTCGCTTGCCCCATGCTCCACTTCCCTTCATGCCACATTTCCTTCTACAGACGGACCCACAGTTGGTTCCTCACGTGGGCCCTGCAGATTGGTGCCTGGGCCTCTGGCCATGCCCTTCTCTCTGTCATCTCCTGCCCTCCCTTCCCCCCTCCCACGTCCACTTGCAAACTGTGTATCGTCTTTCAACACCCAAGTCACATGCCACTTCTCTGGGTAACATCCTCACCCACCCTCTCCACCAGCCACCACTGAGTCATCTCCGTGCCTTGACCTTGCTCCCTCTGGGGCACTTACGTCTACGACAGCCTGTTTGTGACTGTCTTACTCCTCTACCTGACCTCAGAGCCACCGAGGTCCGGAGCTCCAGCCCTAGCCTGAGAACTCAATAAGTGTTTCTGGGATTGCGTTATTTCCACTTTACAGATGAGGAAACGGAGGCTCAGAGGAGTCATAACGACTTGCCCAGGGGTCTACTTGAAAGCACCAGGGCAGGATTCGAATGTAGGTCACCAGGACTGTGGACACCATACTTGTGACTTCCAGACTTCTCATCGGTAAATTTCCGCCGTCGACACAAGGGACTGACCTGGGCTTGCTAAGCCATTCTTTTAACAAGTGGGCTATTAAAACAACAACTACAACCACAACCACCACAACAGAACCCGTAGAAAAGCTCCAGAAAGTTGACACAGCAGGAAAGATGTAACTTTAAGAATAAAGGGCACTCCTTCTTCAGAAAGGGCAGATGCTGACCACACACAAACGGGCTGTGGGCTGAGGGAGCTTCCCTGTGACTCATCATCTGGCAAATCACTGCCCCGTGTTTGTGGAGGATCATTTATCACAGATCACCATACAAGGTCAAACAACATTCCTCTGCTTTCCAGGGGAATGGCATGAGCAGGCTCATCTGGGGCTTCAGAGCCAACGTTGCAGATGGTGTCATAAAACCACACCTCTTGATCATGCGCTAGAGACGGGCACCCCCAGCTTCCCTTTAACCCGAGGCAGCGAGGGCTGGGGGCTGGGGAGGAAGCATAAAAACAGCCTGGAGGGGGCAAACCCTGAAATGAAGGCTCTGAGAGGTCTGCATGGCACGCTTGGGGCCTCTCCCCGGGCGGGCAGCCCCTTGGAGGTGGTTGCCAGCTCTCTCCCTGGTGGACGCCCACAGGCAGGGCCAGGGAACATTCTCTCCAGGGCCACGGGCAGCACGGGGCCAGGCACCCCCACAACAATGGCAGGCACCTCCACAGAGGGGAAACCCCCAATCTCCCGTGCTCCTTTCCTCAATTCAAAATCATTGCTGCCATGAGCTTCTCCCCTCTTCTGAGAAGCCCACCCTGATTAAATGTGGCAGAATGATGAGACAAGCTGATTCCTTCCCTGTGCTGATCACTCATGAACCGTCTTCTGAGTTTCCAGACTCCATACTGGAAGGGGATGAAAACCCTGCTACCACTTCCAGGCAGCCTTCCCTGATCTTCCTGTCCTCCCCCCTCCTCCCGCACAGTTGGGCTGTGTGCCCCTCCTCTGAGGTCCGCCACCAAGCGCTTCCCCAGCATAGACCTGTACTGTGACCACACGTGGGCCTATCAGACTGCCTCCAGAGAGCAAGGGGGCCCGAGCCTTGCTCTCTGCCCCGCACAGATGATACACTCAACACAGGGTCCACAGCTATCCGGCTGTTTGATTGGAGGATGTCAGCAACTCCTGCGGGTTTGATCTTCCACTTGGACAGATGCATGGCACTGTGGAGCTTCTCTGCCACCAGCCAGGATTGAACTAGATCATCATTTCTCAAACCCTTACTGCATTAGAATGTCCAGGGGTGAGGTGCAGAACCGTATGTTTTAGAAACTCCATAGATGATAATCAGCCAGACTGAGGGGCCACCGACTCTACCCTCTAAGGGAGCTTTATACTTCTGGCCTTCTGAGGCCCAGAATCAGAGTACTGCTGGGCCCATTCCGGAACTAATGAAGACGATGAGCAATCCTGTCCTACCCACAGCCCTGCCTGCGCCCGGTGTGTTCTCTGGAAGCTCCTGAGTTTCCCATCTTTGGGGGCAGCCCTGGAGGTATTGCCACCATAGCCACTCACCCTGGACAGAGCCCGACTGGCCAGCATCTCGAAGGCTTGTACCACATTGATGTTATTCTTGGCACTGACTTCAAAGTAGGGAATATCCTTCTCTTTACACCAGCCTTGGGCTACCTCCGGGGGCACCTGAATGAGGGGAAGACATGATTACTGTCCCTGTATCATCACCGCCACCATCCCCACTGTCATCATATTGCCCACCGTCACATCCCCACCATCTCCCCCCCACTCCCATTTATCGAGAATCTTCCATGTTTCCAAAATTTTACATGCATTCTTTTTTTTTTTAAGATTTTATTTATTTATTTGACAGGGAGAGAGAGAGAGAGAGTGAGGGAAGGTGAGGAAGCACAAGGAGGGGAAGCTGCAGAGGGAGAGGGAGAAGCAGGCTCCCCGTTGAGCAGGGAGCCCGACATGGGGCTCCATCCCAGGACCCTGGGATTCTGACCCGAGCTGAAGGCAGATGCTTAACCAACTGAGCCACCCAGGTGTCCCTACATGCATTCTTTCTTAACATAAATCTATGAGGTGGTTATTGCTAGCTCCATTTTCCAGATGGGGAAACTAAGGACTGTGCTCAGGGTGTGTGAGGTTGAGCAGGATTTGAATACAGGCTTGGAAGAGAATTACAACCCACTGTACCAGGCTGCCCCCCTAAGGCCCACACTAGGCACTTCTTCCTGCCATTGGCTCCTTCTTCAGTCCCTTCAAAAGGAGATGAACGTGACACACGCTAGTCAGGGTGGAGGACTTCTGTCCCCTGAGCAGGCTGACTAGGGCCTGTGCCCAGGAGGTCTGTTGCTGAGCAGAGACTCAGGTCCTTGCTAACCCTTCTTCCCCAGGGTAGAGTCCTAAGAACAGTTGGTAAGCCGCTTCTATGGACCAGATACTGAGTTAGATATCTTGTCATATTAATCCATTCAATCCCGCCAGTGACCCTGTGAGATGGGTCTTAATAGCTCCACTTTATAGGTAAGAACACTGAGGCTCAGAGGGGTCTAGCAACTTGCCTCAGGCCACACAGCTGAGAAGGCAGAGCGGCAATGACTCCCAGCTCAGTGTGCCGGTGGGATCGGGGCTGCCCTCTGCAGGGCACCACATGAGGACTCTGCCCAGCCGCCTCCCCCGCTAGACCACTGGCTCCTTGAGCTCAGGCTCAGGGTCTTTTCAGCTCTTGACCTGGCACCATGGGCCACTCAGTGTGGGCGGAATGAGTATATCTCCACCCGACTGCAAACGGCCGATCAGAGTTTGAGCATGTTGGTTTGGAAAGCGCTTGGCAAGTCCCGTGACTTACTTCCAAAGACAATTGGAGCCATTCGGTTTAATGCCTAATAATTTCCGGGAAGAGGAAATGGCCATATATCGAACATTGCTGTGCTTGGTACTTTATAACCATGATTTCATTTTACTTAAGGGAGCCAGGGTTTTTATCATGGACAAAGGACATTCTGCCTCTCTCCCAGAGGACAGCGCAGCCAGGGGGAGATCAGATTGCCTCCCTCACTCCTGCAGGTTCTAGGAATGACTGTCTCTTTGGGATTAAAGGAAGCACCCCTGTCCCCTGTCTCTTTGGTCCTTGCTTCCCTGGTCTCACGTGTGGCGGCAGCACCAGGGGCTCACAGCTGTCTCTCCCAGTGACACCAGCATTGCCCCGGCATTGGGAGGCTCACCACCTAAGACTGGAGGGTGCAGCCTGGGTTCAGCTAAGCAGCCTGTCTTTTGGGCGCTAGGTGACACATCCACACCCCATGCGCAGGTCCTGGGGGGAAACCCTAGGCCTTGGTCTTGGCCTCTGATCTCTAAGACCCTCCTGCCTTTAGGAGGAGGGCCCTAGAATTGGCCAGGACTGCTTCCTTCCATGGAGCACGGATGCCCAAGGCCTGGTGAGCAACCAAGAAGGCTCACAGTTCAGGAACGTTCTGAACTCTTTGGAGGAAGGGTCAAGCAAGGGTGGCTGGTGGTTCGTACTGTCCTCACCAGTAACCACAAATAAATAAGCATTAGGAACTCACTGTTGTACCTGGATGGCACCTTAGGAATGCAAAGGGCTTCCTACCTTTTAAAATCCTCCAGTGGGAGGACGGGACTTACTTCTTACAGTGCCTTCCTGCCTTCCTTCTCTCTAACCACCCCCAGCCCATCCCCCCGCCCCCACCAGGTGATGAGCATGCACAGGAGGTGCAGTAAAAACTGAGGTCAAGTGAAAAGACGTCAAGGCCTCCCCTTCTCCAGGATGTAGGGAGATCTTTTATATTTCGTGGTGTGAGAAGCAGAATTAGTGCCCGTGGAACCCAGCAACAGAGCTGGGAGGACAAGCCTGCAGCAGCAATCTGCTCAGCACAGCTCAGCTCTGTTCTCTCCCACTGGACAGTGACGGGGGTCTGTCTGGTGCCCGCTTGTGATAGGCGTTTTATCTCACTTGCCCCGATCTTTCTCTGCTGGGTTTATATGGAATGGTTAAATACACTCCCCAAAATGTCAGTTGAGATTATGTTGTAAATTAACCTTCTTGGGGCACCCGGGTGGCTCAGTCGTTAAGCGTCTGCCTTCGGCTCAGGTCATGATCCCAGGGTCCTGGGATCGAGCCCCGCATCGGGCTTCCTGCTCAGAGGGGAGCCTGCTTCTCCCTCTGCCTCTAACTCACTCGTGCTCTCTCTCTTTCTCAAAAAAAAAAACAAAAAAAACTTAAAAAATAATTAACCTTCTTTTCATTCGCCCTTTCTCCTTCCCCACTCAACCTCCACAAGCCGGCCTGGGAAGAAAGCCACCCAGACAGCACCTTTCACTATTCACTTCCAGTTCTTGTTGCGGTTTCATGATAGTTTAAATCATCTTGTCTTCTCTTTATTTATAAAATGACAGTTCTTTATACTTTAGGCTCTGACTGTGGCAATAAATTCAGGGTGTGCTACTTGGGGACTTGGGAAATACGAAATTTTTATTTTTATTTATTTATTTTTATTATGGGAAATACAAAATTTTTAAAAGCATTAGCTGGGTTAATTTTGCTTTTGGTTGATAATATATACTATTAACGTTTTCCTTCTGTTACAATTTTGCTTGTTCATCAGAGGCCAAACGTTTCACAAATCTAGCTCAGTTTGCATAATTTTATGTATGATGCCTTTCCATCTCCTATGCATTTTATTTTATTTTATTTTATTTTATTTTATTTTATTTATTTATTTGACAGAGAAAGACACAGTGAGAGAGGGAACACAAGCAGGGGGAGTGGGAGAGGGAGAAGCGGACTCCCCTCTGAGCAGGGAGCCCGACGCGGGGCTCGATCCCAGGACCCTGGGATCATGACCTGAGCGGGAGGCAGACGCTTAACGACTGAGCCACCCAGGCGCCCCTCCATCTCCTATGCATTTTAAATGATCAATTGTATAAATGTTAACATTAGTGAGTCAGGCACATCTTAAACCACTACCAAAAATAACAGAATATTTTCGGAAAATACAAATCCCATGTTATGGATCAGTGATGAGTTAGAAATTGCCTACCTGAGCATAGAGCAAAGAATTCACATTCCAGTGAATAAATTCCTTGTAGGTTGGGTGCTAGCAGAGCTGTTCTATCAAACTGATATTTTTCCACTATGACCTTTTATAGACGGAATAGGGATTTTTTTTTAAAAAGTCAACCATTTCTTTAAAATCATTCTGGTGATAAATATATGTATATATAATACATGCATATATATGATACATACATATATAATACACAGATATATATGTATTTTATTGTGGTAACGTATACAACATATACATAAACATAAGTTTTACCATCTTAACTATATTTAAGCTCGCAGTTCAGTAGCATTAAGCACATTCCCGCTGTTGGGTATGGATGGATGGGTATCACCCCCACCCATCTCCAGAACTTTCCCCTCACCCTAAATCTGGCAATATAGTTTTAAATATTTATTTCCTTTTTATGAAGTGGGAAAAACTTGCGTGTTTTCTCAGCCCATCCCGTGGAGGAAATAAGAGCAAGGCTAGCAACCCCCGTGGTGTATTAAGCTCGTCACGTGCTGCTTTCTGGTACTACTACCTTCAATCCCCAGGCCAGCTCATGAAATCCGAGTCTGGGCTCTATGTCGCCCGTGAGGACACTGGAGATGACCAGGGGCACACAGCAGGCACGGCTTTGAGTCCCGAGAAGGCGCTCCTTCAGGTGGCCCTCGGCTCTTACCCACTCACCCCTGTGCAAGTGAGAGCCCAGAGCACGTCTCTCAGCTGGCCTTCTCTGTTCCCTACCCCCCCTGCTAAGCTGGGACAAAACAACAGACCCTGGAGGGCAGCTGCTTTCCAGCCTCACCCCTCCTCACTCATGGTTCCTCCTCTCCACTTCCCTGCCCTCATTTCATTATTGCTGAGTGCTTCCCCACCTCTGGTGTTTACTCTACCTCCCCCACCCCCACCCTGCCATGCCCTTGGCGAGGGGCTTGCCTGCAGAAAGACAAACTCCCCTCACTCTCCCTCCTCCAGGGTCCTCTCTCACTTCCCTGGCTTGGCTGAGCCCTGGCTTTTCCTGGAGTCTCTGGACTATCCCCCTGTCGCCCTCACCAGTGGGGGCTATCTCCATATGTCGCTCACCACAGACCCCAGAATGGGCTTGCCTAGGGCCTCACTGCTTCTTTCAAGTCTCTCTCCTTCTGCTCTCTGAAGAGCAAAGCCCCTCCCCTGGCTTGGATGGACTCCCCTCCACCCCTCGGAGTCATCACCTGCTCTTTCCATCCTGCTTGTTGTCATCCTCACCCCGTGGCCCGCCCCCCCCCCAGGGTAGCCTCACAATTCCTGCCCCTCCAACAGAATGCATCTTCTCTCCACTTCAGCTTCTTCTTCCCGGGTCTTGACTCAGGACCTCCATCAAATATTGAATCTGGCCTCCCATTCTGTGACACAGTCTCCTTCCCTTCGACCTCCTTCCGCCTTCCTTCCTTCTGCTCTGCCCTTCCGCCTTGGACACTGCAGCTGCCTGCTCCTTCAAACCTCCCCTGGCTCTCTTCTTTCCTTGGTGGCTTGTCCATGCCCCCACACCTCTACTCTTCAGCTACTCTTGTCTGGAAACACCTTAGTCCCAGGTCCCTCGTTCCTGGCTCCCCACCCACATGTGGCTGCTGGAGAAACGCCCAACCTGCAGATGCCAGCTTTAACTCCTGGTCTCCTTCTTCCGCTGAGCCTCTAGTGTCACCCACCAGTTCTTATCTTTGTCCTTGACTTCTCTCCAGAGTAGCTGGCAAAGCTTCACCATGATTCCTGAGACTTCTACTTGGTTCCCTTCCTTCTCCTGCTCAGTAGAAGCTGGTGCCTCTGATTTCACTGAGAAAAAATCACTCTCAGGCTTGGAATCCTTCAACTTCCCACTCTATGACCTACAGGTTCATGAAGCAGGATGTTAAAATGGAAGTTTCAGCAGAGGCACTACAATTTGATGGATGTCAGATATAAAGTGGGTTGGGAGACAGACCGCCCCAGGACCTTGCCCATTTCCAAAGGTTCATGACCAAGAAATTGTTAGATGGCTCTAAAACCCACAGCATGAATATAAAAGGATGAAAGGAGGATTAGAAAGGATTTCTTTGGAAATAGTTGTGTTGTGGGTATGTGCCGTCCCCTCCTGCAAGAGGGAGAATAGGTAAAGCCTCACCTCTAGCCAAAAAAAAAAGAAGGCTTCAAGGAGGCCACTTGAAAAGCTTAACATACAACCCCTGTAGTTTGGTGGATACAGCAGACAGGTGCCTGGCATGCCTTCGAGGGATCTAAGGCAAAAGGCAACAGGGCAGAGAGAGAACAGACTGCTGTGAGAACCAATCACCCTTGCTCCTACAAGGGAGCCAGAATTCGAGGGCAAGCCTTGTGAAGGAGATGGAGGCTCCACAGAGAGCTGGCCAGCCTGGGGCTCTTGTAAATCTCATCAGGAGGGCTGCCTGCAGGAAGTGGTGCCCTCAGTTGGGTGGAGGATGAAAAATCAGAAGACGAGGAGAGAGAGGCGGAAAATACAAGACGCTTGTCATAGGAGGGACAGTAAATGCTTCCAGGGGAGGCTTCTTAAGGATCCAAAGGTAACCCATGGAAGAGACGACTTGAAACACCTGCCTGGGCCAGAGAGTACAAACTATCTTGTGACAGTACCCATCAAATAAGGATTTTCCTGCTCTGCTGACTTCTTCTCCCTCTTGCTTCATTCCTGACAGGGTCTGAAACCAGAATTATCCAGAGAAGGGGAGGAAGTGTAGACCACATAAAGTTGGCAATGATAGGCAAAGGACCATTCCCTCCACCTAGACCATAGTTTCTCACCTATAACTGCCCCAAGTGGAAAAAGGAAAGGGAGACAGCTTGCCTTTTAATGAACTTAGGACTTTGATTATTACCTGAGACTGGATGTTTGCAATTAAAGAGTTGACACTAAATTTGAAACCTGAAGTGACCATTGAATTGATGGTGCCTAGATTTCTATTTCCAGCACGGACATCTCCTTTGAAGTTTTATTCTTGTATATTCTATTCTTGTATATTCTACTGTCATCTCCAATTAGTTGTTCTACAAGTTCTTTAAACTCAGCACATCTAAACTCATCTCTTTCTGAACAGAAGGCTCTTCTTAATGATGGTGGTAGCTTCATTGGAAGCACCATCGTCCACCCATCCATCCACCCATCCATCCATCCATCCATCCATCCATCCAACCGTCCATCCATCCATCCATCCAGCCTGTCCATCTGTCTGTCTGTCCATTCATCCATCCATCATTCCAAATGATGCCTCAGTTCTATCCTTTTCTCTGTTTGAACCGTTGTGAAAATGTAGCTCAAATATGATGGCTCAGTTCCTCGTTTCTTTTCTCCCTTTGAAACACTAAGACAACCTTGTTCAAATGGCTCTTTTTGGTGTCATTTAAGCTTCATTTGGCACAAGAGCACCTTTTACAAATTAAGACTACCTCTTGTTTTTTTCATTAGTACGCAATAAGGAAAGAGGTCTAATCAATTCCACTATAGCAGTAAACACCTACACGAGTGGGGTCACTATAGCTATGGAGCAGACCGGCTGTCATGTGGTTAGCCAGATAATCTGGAATACACTCATGCTGATAAAATATATTCCCAGGAAATTTATAGAGTCAAGAATTTATAACTGCAATCCCCTGCCTGGCCCTGGGTAGAAATACTGTTCTATAAGAACTCAAATTCCACCTGCCTTCCTCTGATGCCTTAATTCTTCCATTCCCTGTCTCTAGACAAAATTGCTTTCACTTCTCAACTCACATCATGCTATTTCTTGCCTTTGCTCATGCTGAATCCACCTCCCCTAGGAAGCCCTTTCTATATTCTGGGCTTGAGTAGATGCCCTTTCACTGTGGTCCCCAAATATCCAAGGTATATCTCTATCACTGCATTTATCATAATCATCTTTTAGAGTGTCTGTATCCACTACTAGACTACAAGATTCTTAAGGCAAGAACTGTGTCTGATTCAGCTCTCTATGTGTGGGCTCTACCACGGGGCCTGGTGTGTAGTAGGTGCTCACACAATGTTTGGTGACTGAATGAAAGTATGGACGGTACCTGCCGGTCTGCGAGATCAATCTTGTTTCCCAGCACCACCATGGGGTAGGATGGCTCCATTGGAATAGTTTTGGCCAGAACATCACCCCGCCAGGTATCCAGCGCTTCAAAGGACTCTAGGTCGGTGACATCGAAAGCCAGGATGCAGCCATCGGAGCCTTTGTAGAATGTGGACACCATGGAGCGAAACCGCTCCTGTCCGCCCGTGTCCCAGATCTGGAGGGGAAGAACAGCCACCCCGTTGGGCTGCGATGAGTGCCTGGAGGTGGGCCCAACTGGATCACGTGATGGCAAAGTTTCCTTTCCCAGGTAGGAAGCAGACAGCCCCGGCACAGGCGCTTGTGGTCCATTCACCCACAGGCATTTTAACCCTGTGGCCCATGTACCCTACAGCATCTTTGCACTATCATCTGAACTCTCATTTTCCCCCTGGGTCATCAAGACAGGCACAGTTATTCTCATCGGATAGATTTGGACCTTGGGAGGGACTTGCTCAAGGCCACTTATCAAGATTTCCAGTGAACCTGAGACTAGGAGTGGGGCCTCCCAACCCTTGGATTTGTCCTTTTTTTTTTTTTTTTTCTTCCCAGATCAGGGATCAGCAATTTTTTCTTAAAGGGCAACATTGTAAATATTTTAGGCTTTGCAGACCATACCGTCTGTTGCAACTACTCAATTCTGCCATTGTAGTGTGAAAGCAGCCATAACCATAAGTAAACAGTGGACATGGCTGTGTTCCAATAAAACTTTATTTACAAAAACAGGTGGTGGACCACATTCGGTCCATGAGTTGAAGTTTGTTGATCTCTGCTCTAGACCTTTGTAGCTCCTGGTGCACACTACTGTCTGAGTGGCTAGCTAGGGAATGTGGGATGATTTTCAGGTATGCATGCTGAAGAGGGGAAGGCAGAGCTGCTCACCTGTAGCTTCAAAGTTGTGTCGTCCAGGATGATAATCTTGGAGAGGATGCTGGCCCCCAGTGTGGTCTGGTAGTCCTCGTAAAACGTCTTGTGCACATATTGGTGGAGGAGGGAAGTCTTTCCTACACTGAGGACAAATACCCAGGCACATGTGAACAACGTACACACACACACACACACACCCCATTCTCAGATCTTGCCATGCCCCTCTTGCTGCCATCTCTCCAAGATTCTGAATTTCTAACACTTGCAGTCCAAGGACCACAGTGAGCAGCAAGGGATTAGGGAATGGACTCTGGAAACCAGGACCCATCCAAATACAGCAGAAACCAGGCAGCCTGACTCCCAGGCTCTTTTGCCATCTGAGCTCTCTTCCTGGGGGTGGGATGTCCTCCCTGGTGCCACTCTGAATCAGAAAGGGACCCATGGTAGGTGGGAAATATTCAGGAGGTCTCACCGCCCTTGGGTAGGGGCTGCTTCCCAACCCCCACACCCTGAGCTGATCTTGGCTTACCCCAGGGCTCCGATGATGATGAGCTTCAGGTCCACCTTCTTCCGGGGATTCATGGAGGGGCTTCAGAGCCTGTAGGGAAACAGAAGTCAGCTGCATGCTGGTCAGAGTCCCCTGCAGCCAGAGTCCCCTGCAGGCTGGCCTCTGCTTTCCCTCCCTTGATGTGCAGATCACTGCTCTGGGCCCAGACTCAGGTGGGGTTGTTTTCCAAAAGAGATGGATGATCAGCAACCTTTACGCCACCTCCCCTCCAACTTCCTCTTGGGGCCTCCCCAAGGCTGGAAGTGTGGTGGCCCCATAGGACAGGCACATCGCTCACCCTTTAGCTTTACCAGCCCTGCTCTTGGAGGCAGCCTGGAGCGCCAAGAAGAATGGACGGGACTGAACAGAGGCCTTGAGGACAGTCAAGCCTGGAGCCGGGGATGGAGGGCAGTGTGGGAAGAGGAGATGGGGGCAGGACAAGGGGTCCATTGTCAGGACTGCCTGAGAGGCTTTGGATGGGAGAGTGCCCCTCCCCCATCCCGAGGTGTTGCTGCAATCACAGAATCAAAAGGCTCTTCTCCAATGCAGCTGGTGGGGGTATAATGGGTACATGTTTCTGGAAAGCTACTTGGCAGCAAGTATTGACAGCCTTAAAAATGTTCCTGCCCTCCATTTCTAGGAATTTGTCCTAAGGAAATAATCTGAAATGCGGGCAAAGATTCTTGTTCAAGAATGTTCTGCACAGTATTATTTATAAACATCCAACAACAAGGAAGTGGGTAAATAAATCATGGCACACAATGAACTATTAATGTGGAGTTTTTGAGAATATTATATTAATGTGGGGAAATGCTTACGCATAGGGTCTAAAGACTTTTAGAAATTATTTTAAAATTATTTAAAATTTTAAAAATTATTTAAAAAATAAAAAACCTTATTATTTGAGAGAGAGAGAGCATGAGCAGTGGGGAGGGGCAAAGGGAGAGGGAGAAGCAGACTCTCCGCTGAACAGGGAGCCCGACCTGGGGCTCAATCCCAGGACCCTGGGATCATGACCTGAGCCGAAGGCAGACACTTAACTGACTGAGCCACCTAGGCGCCCCTCCTGGGGTCTAAATGAAAGACAGAAGACACTAAACTATATATACAATACCACCCCAATTATGGACATGAGTTCCCACTTACATAGAAAAAGGGCTAGAAAGAAATATACAACAAATTTAAGTGATTAATTCTGGGTGGTAGGAAATTACACAATTTAACATGTGTTCTCTGTGCTTTTTAGTATGTTCCTTTTTTTAAATAACAAACATGGCAAACGGGTATTGTTCCTATAAGAGAAATACACATACGTGCGTGTGTGCATTTTCTGTAGACATGCACATATTGATTGTTATTATTATTTTTTGACAAGCTAAAGCAAAGCTGTCGCAGGGGGTTTGCTTAACTGGCTTTTTGGGTTCTACCCTTACATGCACACTTATGTGTACACAGTTCCCACCTCCTGAGTCCCCGATCCTTGGATGTACTCGGTAGGCATACTGAGCAAACCTTGATCTGACTCTGCCTGGCTGAGGTGTTAAAAGAGCCAGCTTGAGTTTCCCCTGGTACTTGGAAAAAGCTCTACACTGGATGTCCCGAGGCCTTGGTTCTCATTCTCTCACTTTGCCACTGTGGGGCATTGGGCCAGTTACTTCCCCTTTCTGAGTCTTGGCTCTCCAACTAGCGAATGAACAAGTTGGGCCCCAAAGACTCAAGGTCCCTTCTGGTCGAAACATGCTTTATCTACTGGAGCTGTAACTCACTGGCCACAAGAGCCTTGCCTTGCATTGCCTAGTTAGTGCAAAGCTCAAACAAAAGCCCCCAGAGGCTGAGGGCGGTTAGTGACTCTCCATGAGCCATGCAATGGCCCAAGAGTGATTTGAGGCTCTGCTCAGAGCTGCTTGTCCCAAAAGCCAGAGTTGGTGTCACTGGGCCTTCTGCCATAACCTAGGAGGGCTGCGTTGGCATGGTGGGCAACAGGTCTTGGTGATCCATGACAGTCATTCCAAAAAGACCTACATGTCTATTGCATTGCAAAGCCCTGCTTTTGCGATAGACAGGGAGGAGCACAAAGATGGAACCAATAGGAACTTGGGAGAAAGCACAGGGCTGAGTGATGACACCAAAGAGAAGGTGTAAAGCGTCCCAACAGGAGCACAGAGAAAGTGCTGTGGGAATTTGCGGGTGGGGAGAGAAGCCGGCAATCCAACTGGGCCCTGAAGAAACAAGACTTGTGGTTAGGCGGTGATATTTCAGAGGGAGGGGATGAAGTAATAAAAACTCTGGGAACAGGTGAATGGAGAAGGTGGACGATTTGCTTCAGGGAAGGGAAGACACTTTTATGACTATTATTAACACACAAAAGGAGCTTGCGGGACCGACACTATTGGTCTCTATTTTACCACTGAGGATACAGATGTTTAGAGACGGGAGGCAGTTTCTCTCTAAAAACACAGCCTATCTTCCTATGGAGATAGGAAAGCAGGGAGAAGAAGCAAGTTTTACGATGGGTCGTGGGGATCAGACCAAGGATTCTGTCCATTCATTCATTCCTTCATTCTTGCAGCAAACATTCCCTATGCTCCAGACAGGCAGATGAAGGTAATTCCAGGTATTAGTTAGGGTGGCATTTTGTAGGGATGTCACGGCCCAGAGGGAAGGCACCCAAGGGAGAAATGTCTCAGAACCCTCAGAAAGGCGGCATGTCTCCGAGTACCAGTTACGACCCCAGAAGGGGAGTGGGAGCCGTGCTGAGCTCTTTCCTAAAGGCTTTGGTACAAGATGCTAACTTAGCTTCAAAAGCTAATACAGTGCCTTAGAAAGGGAGTCAGAACAACAGGGAGGTGAGGACAGAGGGAAAGGAAGTCGCACCGGCAGAACACCCGCGGGGCCTGCTCTGCGTTCTCGTACAGCCCAGGGAATCCTCCCAAGAGTCCTGTGAGGTGAGTCCTTGAGACTCTGAGAAGCCGCCTCACTCATAACTCATCCAAGGCCATCCAGGTAGTACGTGGATGAGCCAGGGTTTGAACTGAAGCCCAGAGAAGCTCCTCTGCCACGTTGCCTCCTGACCTCCCGAGTCTGGACCCATAGAATCTGCGTGCATAGGATCTGGGGCCCTGGGCTTGGGTGTGGTGTGCCCCCCCAAAAACCCTAGCAGAGCTGGAGGAGATGGAGAGAAAAGCAGCCCAAGGGACAAGAGGTACAAATGGGAGCAGAGGGAACAGGTCTGCCGAACAAGAGCTGTTGTGTGAGGACTGACCACCAGGGTCAAGACTCGGCCTGCTTACTTGGAGGGCAGCGTGTTCACGCGCTGTGATAGGGCCATGCCTCCATGTTGGAGACGTCTGTGATCCCACTGTACGCTGTTAGCCTGGCACTGTGTTGAGGATTTTGTGAATATGCAAATTCAAATATGCATCTCATTGTGAGGTTAAATGAGTGAATACATTATGAGAATACATATACTATATTATTGTAATACGTTTACTGGCCCACATTAAAGGTTCAAGAAATGTTAGCTCTTTCGGACTTTTCTTTTTTTTTTTTAAATTTTTATCTGGTTCTTTTCCTTGTTCTTCTTTTTTTTTTTTAAGATTTTATTTATTTAGTTGTCAGAGAGAGGGGGAGAGCAAGAGAGGGCACAAGCAGGGGAGTGGCAGGCAGAGGGAGAAGCCAACTCCTTGTTGGGCAGGGAGCCCGATGTGGGACTTGATCCCAGGACCCTGGGATCATGACCTGAGCCGAAGGCAGACGCCTAACGACTGAGCCACCCACGCGTCCCTTTTATGACTATTATTAACACACAAAAGGAGCTTGCAGGACCGACACTATTGGTCTCTATTTTACCACTGAGGATACAGATGTTTAGAGACGGGAGGTAGTTTCTCTCTAAAAACACAGCCTATGAATGGTAGGGCCTGGACTGGGAGCTGGGATTTGAATCCAGGCCTACCTGCTCATTCTATTGTCTTCCATAAGACTAGAACAAGGATCACACACCTGCCACTTGGTGCCCCTGTCAGAGAGGCTCCGGGCTGGGTGGTGTGGGCTTGACGTAGGGCAGCGAAGCTGGTGTGCTTACGAAGGGGAATTTGGGGGTGAGGGCGGGGGAGGTAGACAGTGTGTGTGTATAACAGAGGATCAGTATGCACTACCTGGGAAGCTCCCAACAGGTAATCAAAGATAACATACAACATAAAAGCGGGCAAGGAATATGAATAAGCAACCAACAGAAGTCTTACGAATGATAAGTAGTAAGCTCTGAAAGGTTACTGAAACTTACTCATTTTTAGAGACATACAAAATTTAAAAATACCATTTTTTTTTACATGCCAGAGAGTGGCAAAAATTAAAAAGACTGATGGTAACATTTAGTGTCGGCAAATGTACAGTGGAAGCGCTATTGTATATTGTTGACAGGCTACGAAAAGCCTGGCCTTTTTTGGAGGGAAATTGACAATATCAAAATGTAATACCCCAGGTTCTAATTTTAGAAATCTATCCTGTAGAAACGTACCTACGCTCAAACATACCTTTATGCAAAGATAATTGCTGGAGAACGTTGTTGTGACCCAGTGCCCATCGATAAGAGAGTCTCTACATAAATTATGATCCATTCAGGCTTTGGAATACTAGGCGGTTTTAAAAAGAATGAAGTAATGAAGTAGAAAAATATGATAACAATTTAAGTAAAAAAAGAACATCCCTGAACATTTTGTATAGTATGATCTCAATTGTATAAAAACAACCACCTCACATGTGTTGACCATATATTTAGTATTATATTTGTGCTTGTCCTGTATATACAGAAAGCTATGGAGAGAGACACTCTAAATGAATAATAGGAGCTGGGGGAAGGGAGATGAGAAGGTAGGAGCTATTGTTTTATTTTATATATGTCTTGTTTTAAAATTTGCTACACAAGGCTCGGTGTTATTGTAATTAAACAACATCAAATATAAAACCTTAAAATTTCTTTAAAAAGAGCACATGGGTGGATGGCAGCCCAAAGTCATCTGAGTGTGACGTCTTTCTTTCTTTCTTTATTTTTAAAGATTTAAAAAATTTTTTTATTTGACAGAGAGAGAGAGAGAGAGCACAAGCAGAGGGAGAGGGAGAAGCAGGCTCCCCGCTGAGCCAGGAGTCCGATGTGGGGCTCGATCCCAGGACCCCAGGATCATGACCTGAGCCAAGGGCAGACACTTAATGGTCTGAGCCCCCCAAGCACCCCTGAATGTGACTTCTTGACAAGACAAATTACTTTTGTGTCTGGGGCAGAAGAGGGAGGTCCCCTAGTAGCAGGGATTGATCACGAGTTTTGGAATCAGAGTTCTCCATACATTCGTGACCTTGGGTGATTTGCTTGACCTTGGTGAGTGAGTTCCCATGAAACAGACATGGCTCATGGCTGTGGCTTATTCTGCAGGGTGGCATACGTCATTTCTTAGAGCACAGGCTCCCCCAACTGGGGAAGACCCAGATAAATGGTTAACAACTGCATGGGATGGGGGTGGTGGCAGAGACCAGATTTGTAGCACCTGCCACCTTCTGCGGTGTAGATACACCCACCACGGCTGGTTTCAAGCTACCAGTGTGGAGCCAGCTCCAGCGCACTGTAGAGGGACCTCAAAGATGATCTAGTCTAACCCCCACCCAATGCTTGAGCCATCTCGACCACATCATGGAAGACAGAGCTAGACCTGCCCCCATAGAGCTCCTTCCCTCCACTAGCTGTGGATTTCTCCTGGGGCCACATAAAACATGCTCAATCCCTCTGCCACATGCCAGGCCTTCTGAGGTTTCAAGGCTTCTCCTTGAGTTTTTCTTGAGTCTTTTCTTCTTCAAACCCTTGTGACTCACCTTGGCTTTGACTCTGAGCTCCCTTTCCCTACCCCCAACCCCCCGCCCCCAGGCTCCTTCCCTGGATGTGCCCTTAAAGTATTCTGCCGCTGCAGATAGTTGCTGAGCTTGCTATTTAAAATAGCCTGGTCCTTGCACCCAGGATAACTAGCAGCAACAGGAGGGTGACCAGGACCATGTCATTGGCAAGGGAAGGCGTCTTGGCAGAAGACACGGGCTGGGCTCACCAAGGAGGCATGTGCAGATTTCAGACGTGGCTGAGTCCCTTCCCATGTCCTCTGGGCTCTACCCTTGGCCAGACTTTGGTAACAGCTGCCCTTTTGAGCCTCCTCCCACTCACTCAGCTGCCTCGGATGCTTCAAACCTGGGCATCCTCCTAGAGGCTAGGCTGAGTCATCACCTTCCACTGTTAAATAACAGGGAAAAGCAGGCTGCCTTCAGCCAGCCCCGGTCCACCCAGAGCAAAATGTGCAGGCGACTCACTGTCCACTGCATGTGACTAACTCGTCTCCCCTTCTTGCCTGGCAATCCTTCTAAGCCTGGAGCCCTGGTCCTGCCCACCCGCCAAAGCTACAGTGTAGCTCAGTCCCTGGGGAGCAAGAAAGACTGGGTTGATGTCTCTCCCCTCCCCCCCCCGCCCCCCACAATAGCCCTAGGGCTCGGGGCCAGTCTTACAAGGACTCTTGGATCTGCTCTGCTCTTACCTTCTCACTTCCCTTCTCTCCCTACCCCACTGGCTCCAACCAGGACCCAGGTACAACCTCCTGCATTGCTGGTGTTGGGTGAGGTGTCGTTTCTGCCGACTAGGAGCCAGTGAGCAGGGGCAGATGGGAATTCTGAAGCAGGCAGTCTCCCCACCTTGCTCCTACTACCTTACCCCACTTTCAGTGCCTCCCCTCCCTGCTCCCACATCTTGGAAAATGATAAATATATCCACCCTAAAAATAATGGGATTTACAATCATGGGAATAAAGTTTGTCTTTGAAAAGAAGCTATCTATGGAGTGAAAGCTTTATTGCCTTGAGGGAAGGCTCACAAGTCTGCCTTACCCTCCTAAATCCCAGCAGTTCTAGTCTAGACCTGCTCCCTCCAGGAAGTGCACCCATAGCCCTGGTTTCAGGAGGTTCAGCGCTTGCTCGTGTTCTTTAAGTTCTTTGGAAGTATTAGTCTTGTCTCCCTAAGTAGAATGTCAGTGCCCAGAGGACAGGACACTGCCTCCCACTTGTCTATCCCTCCACAGAGCCTGACCCATGCTGGGAATATTGAATCTCCAATAAACAGTCATTCATTCATCCCCATGTATCTATCCATCTGTCCGTCCATCTGTCCCTCCATCCAGCACATGTACTATGTGCCTACTATGCATCAGCACTATGTAGATCTGAGGCTACAAACTAGTTATTATCTCTATCTTGTGTGTTGGGGCATCGATTGACAAGCTCAAAGAAATTATTTTTATTAATGCATAATGCCTAGCAATTATAGGGCACTTGGCAATTTACAAAATGCCAGCATAGTCCAGTGGGTTCCTGAGTCAAGAACAACTAATTAGTGGCAAGCTGAGACTAGAACCCAGATCTGTCCAGCTCTGTTCATTGCTTGCTTAGCATTGCAGAGCCGTGCCGGGAGACATTTATGATTTAGAACAAGAAGAACCCTTTCTTACTCTAGGAGTTCCTCCTTCCCCGATGAGACTCTTTGGCCAGAGGATTCCACCCAAGAAGGTGCCCTGTTGATGTGGCAAGCCTACCCAGGGCGTTAGCTGGCCCTCAGCCGAGTCAGCAGCTGTGTCCTCCTGCTGAGACCGATGCAGAGCCCTGAGCCAGGCCCCAGCTCCCTGGGCTGGGCGGGGAAGTCCTTCCTGCCTGGCTTGCTGCCATGCCCTAGATGTTTCTCTGGCGTGGGGGGTCTTGGGGTTGGATCTAAGCCCTGCAGCTGCCAGATTCTAAGCCTCATCCTTGCATGCCTTGCCTCTACTCCCCCCCCACCCCACCCCCAAACCCCAGTACCTCTGGGGGTTGCTGGGACAGACAGAAGAACCGAAAAAAACTTCCAGGGCACTTACAGCTGTGGCCGCTTAGCATCTGGCCTCCGAGGGCAGGCGGCGTTCTCTCTGAGTCCGGCGGTCTCCTCGTAGAGCGAAGTTCTCAGCCGGTTTAGAGGAAAAAGGCTTTGGATCAGAACAGCTTGTTGAGGCCAAGCGACTTCCTTCTGTTTCCCTCCTCTCCCTCTCATGCACAGACTTGGGAAAGTTGCAAAAGAGGCCGGCCCTGGTGAGCTCAGCTGTGTGGGTGGAGGGGGTGGGGTGCAATGTGAAGCTCGGCTTCAGAGCTCACTCAATGGGGTGGGCCCTGTGAGAATTGGGTTTACGGGATGCTGCCCCCCCCGGGGTGGGGTGGGGAGGAGCAAGGAATGGAAGGCTCGGGGGTGGGAGCGTGTGGGTCAGAGCCTGCAGGACAACATGCAGGTTAGTGGGCACCATGCAAAACCTCTAGCTGGTTTAGGAACTGCTTCTGGGGCTGCTGGAAGCCCCCCAGTGAAGGGGACCTTCTGTTTGTGGAAGTATTAGATTCATATGTGCAGTAGACTCGGTCCCACCACCAGCCTGGCCGGACGACAGTCTGGTCCTCACCCTAGTACTGTACACCCACCGCATCATACCACCTTGCCACGCACGCACGCACCGGTCTTAGGACAGGGAGGCAAGTCCTGACATCTCCCTGGGCTCTCAGATGAAGATGAGTGGCCCCACCTGAAGTACTAAAAGAGACTACGGTTATTTTCAGTACTGTTAGCATGCAGCTAAGTTCGGTATTCCTTTGAGTTGCTGGAACCATGCCCTGAGTAATGATGGTGGGCACATAAAAGGGGGAATAAAGTGAGTTTAGACAAGCCCAAATTAAATGGGTTCCCAGCTCCCCAGGGCTCTCCTTAAGGCTTCTACTACATTCGATGCAGCCTTCCGTCCGCATGTTCCTTCTTTCCTGCCTGGTGGGCTGTCCCTTTGTTTCATGAGCCTCACTGTCAGCTCATTCTTCCTTGTGTCCTTTGAGCCTCTGGCCCCGCCCCATTGCTACTGTCTATGTCCGTCTGGTCAGCCGGACTTGCGTTCCCCGAAGGCCAAGCTGGTAACCTCGAATCCCACACCTGGCCACACACAGTGCCAGGGACGGGCCTGGGTCAGGAGTTTTCAGTGGGACAAAAGTTCCAGCTGAAGCTCACCCGCTTGTTCCAGTTAGCATATGTGCCCGGAGGGAGGGCACGGCTGAGCTCCCTGAAGTGCGCTAGTAGACAGGGGGCACCATGCTGGAAAATTTCCAGGGCGCGTTTACCCATCATATGGTGCTTTGTTTGCTTGGGAAAGCGTGCATCCATCCACCCTCAGGATAACCACTGGTGTATGACGTCTGATTTGTTCTTAAATTCCCTATATTCTACTTTTCTGAGACCAGGTTTTATTTTTTTAATTTTTCCTTTTTTTAAAATTTAAATTTTAGTTAGTTAACATGCAGTGCCATATTGATTTTTGGAGTAGAATTCCTGAGACCAGGTTTTCAATGAACGTGTTGTGTGTGGGTGAGAGCGAGAGAGAATGAGGAGGAACCCCTGTAGAGCGTGGAGGCATATGTGAGCCTCTTGCAGAGACCATGTGAAAGTCGCCAGCCACAGGGTCTGCCTCTGTGGGTGCTTTTGGGGAGGGGAAGTAAACTACCCTTGCCTAGTCCTTACAGTCTCTGAACACAGGACTGAAACTTAGACTTTCCGAGGATGTTTGCAGAACTGGCCTTAACACCTTTGAAAGCCACCCTCAGGCTTTAGTTCTCACTTCTTCTGTCTACACGGATCAAGGGTCAGCAACTTCCCTTTCTCTTCCTCTGACACATGTCCCAGTGGAAAATGGTGACCAGCCCCTCGCCTGCAGGGGTGGCCCTGACCCTGCCTTCACTGAATTTCCTTCCTTCTTTCCCTCTGGCATGCATTCATCCAATCATCCAAGTATGTCCAGCCCTTTGGGGGACACAAGAGAGATACTTGCATTTAATCAGTGGAAATAAGACACAGTACAAATAATGATATAAGAAATGCAGCTACAGGGCTGTGGAGATTTAGAGGATTTATAGGAGGAAAAGGCTTTGTGGAAAGGAGGGATTTGAAGTTTGGAGCTTGAAGGACGACAGGGCACGAACATGTGCAGATTGTGGTCAGCAGAGGAGAGAGTTGAGTTCAACGTAAGAAGTGATCTGTGGATGGACGGAGGGAAGGAGTTGCCGACTGTCTGTTTGGCGGGAGAGAGAGTGCACAAAGGAGGCTCCGAGTCAGGGCTGACGACCCGCAGGACAGCAATTTCAATCTGGTTTTTCCTGGCACCGTGTCTAACATCTCTTCGCCAGAATTTTTTTTTTTTAAAGATTTTATTTATTTGTTTGAGAGAGAGAATGAAAGAGAGAGCATGAGAGCGGGGAGGGTCCGAGGGAGAAGCAGACTCCCTGCCGAGGAGGGAGCCCGATGCGGGACTCGATCCCGGGACTCCAGGATCATGACCTGAGCCGAAGGCAGTCGCTTAACCAACTGAGCCACCCAGG